GGTTGCCAGAAGACGTTCTCGGCTGCAGCATGTACAACACACCGTCAGCACTTGGCAACGAGCCCTGTTTATATACACGGCCGGCCGTATGTGTAATAATACGCGATACGGGATTTCGCCCACACCGGCCCGGAGCTTACACGGCTAAGGCGTGGTGTGTTCGTCCGAGGGCGAGTCCCTCTTTTCTCCGCGGCATCCACCGCCTCGCTACACACCGGCCAACGATTTGTTCTGTATATTATACGTATAKACAAGCTAACCCTGCCGTACCACCTACAACTTACTGTAGCACACGTGTATATAAAGCTCATTTGTGGCGCRCGTAAGGTTTCCGCCGAGACGATCGCCACATCAGCTTTATAATAATATTATGTAGGTATATATATAATATATTTATATGTTTAACATACACAGAGCTGTATGTGTACAATAATTGACATTTATGTGTGTATTTATAATATTAGACGCATGCAGGATAATATTATGATGTATATAGTGGCGTATTTTGACGTTTTTTTTCCGGAGAGACAGTCCGTGTGTCCGGAATCGTCGTGTTAAAAAATTGTTTAGTTATCTCGATGAAAATGTATAACAGTTGAGAAAATCAATAAATCAAAATTAAGTATAACATGAAAAAATTACAAGTCAGTATAAGATTTTATATCGAATATTACTGTCATATGGTTTAATATAATGAAGCCATTTAAATCTAATTATTAAATCGAGGAATATTCATGTGTATATTTATTTTGTATTTTGTATTTTGTATTTTGTATACGAGTACATACACAGAGTGAATAAATCAATAACATAACTTATTGACTATATAGTTGTATATATGTATAAACATGACTAATTTAAGATAATATTTGTAAAAATAACTGGAAAAGATCTTAGTATTGTTAAAATAATTGATTTTCTTTAAATAGTTTGAAAAATTAACTTTTTTAACAAGGCCCGCTTTTGCTAATAATATATGCGTGGGAGTAGTATATAGGTACTTCTTAAAAGTACCTATATATATATACTAGGCACATTCGATCGCTGCATTTTTCAAACTCATCGGTTATACGCTCGGTGGCGATAATCATATTATATATTATTATAATATGTATTAAAATATAATTGTTTATTTTAAAGTTTGCTGAGTGTAGGCAGTTGTTTTGTTCGGTTGAACGATTTTTGAGGACCACTTAAAATATTTAACTAGCTACCTAATTGAATCGTTTTGTTTTTCCGTACACAGATCGAAATCTTGATTGCATCATGACTACAGATTATTGCCATCATTGAACAACGCCATTTTTATCGATTATTTTGAAAAACACGTGATCTAATTTTTGTCGCTGTTGTGAATCGTATTAGGTAGGTATTAGGAGGACACCCATATTAGAACAACATGCGTCGCAAGTTGACGCTGGAGCAGGAAACGACCGGAACCAATTCCACATATATGACGACGATTAAATTATTATTATTATAATCGTATACATTTAAAAAATAATAATATTAATAATAATGATAAATTATAGGTACCGTAAAAGTTTTCATGGATACGCAATAAAAAACAATTTACAACGAGATTCGTGCATTCAGATTAACGATGATTAATTTTAGCATTAAAAACCAGT